CTAGCAGAATTTAGAAGAAAAGTTGCAGAATCATCAAAAGAATATTGTAGATTCTGAATTTAGTCACTTCCCCCTGATATTTTAGCCATTTGTTCTTTTTACCTTTTTTTTAATGGGTCTTCATTGTCAAACATCACTTTAGGTCCAATATCGATATGCATCACCATGTGTCCAGTCCAATGTTTTTTTTCTTGGTCTGAGTGTCCAGAACAATTGATATGGATTAATTATTGGTAGCACTGCCTACGACGCATTTTTTGTGGACTTTTTTTTGGGCCCCCCTTTCATCAAAACCTGACTACTTTTTACGGCCGGGCCTATCATTTTATTCCAATTTAAGCTGTTTTGAGATAAATAATCCAGAAAGCATAATTTTGTCAGAAACTGTTTATATTTTTTAAAAAAACATATAAAAATTTATTGTGAGCTGGTTAAGGTAACTGACACTAGCGACCTTGCCCATAGCCAATCGTTGGAGTTCCAATGACTAATGTTTTTTATTTATTGACTATTTTTTTTAGCTATTGATTATAATAGTTTTTAAAACTTTGATAGACTATTTTTGTTTAACTACTGACTACTCCAGTATTGTGATTGAATACTTTCATTTTTAAAATTTTGGTGATTATTTTTTTTTAGCTATGTACTATTCTAGTTTTGCTATTGATTACTTCTATTCTAAAAATTCAAAAAATATATTAAGTGTTGTTGGAGATCTAGTGACTACTTTTTGTTTAGTTATTAGTACTATTATGTGGTCGATAGTTATATAAAAGTAATCACTGAAACTTTAAAAACAAAAGTAGTGAATAATTAAACTAGAGTAGTTAATAGCTATATGAAAATAGTTATCGAGAGTAAGGACAGTGTTATCATTTCATAATATTTTAAAATTTCAAAATAGTACCTAGGATCTAATTTGGGATTTTGAAACTCATCTACCCTTATTTGTTCTTTAGTATTTTTGAGGGTATTTTAGTGTTTTTTTTTTTGCTATTTATTAGGGTATGTTATGCAATATGAGATGCTGTTATGACAAGATGTGCCTACGTTGTGTTGGTGCGAATGTTTTAGAATTGGCTTGGTATAGTTTTGATCTTGCAAAATGAATTTTCTTAGGACACAAAATTGTTTTTGATTTTTTTAAACTATGTTTAAGTTTAATCTCATATTTTATAACAAAATTAGTATTCATGAAATCATAAATTAAAAATCATTTGAAAAATATTTTGCTTATTCAAATTTCTATTTTTGTTTATCGAAACATATAATTTAATATTTTAATTAACTATAATTTCAAAAATTTTGATTTGAATATGCTTCTAAAACCATATTGAACTTTCAGTATATAGGATGGATATTTTCTACCAAATTTGCCTTTCAACGATCAAATTTTCCCGCGAGAATGTGAATTTTTATTATATGTTTACATTTCTATTTCTTTGTACTACTTCCGGTGCTTAATATAAGAACTCTTTTGACTTTTATTTTGATCATAAATATAAGATTTTAATTCATTTTGTTTCTCATATTATCCATTTTTTAAGATAGTTCTTGTGATAATAGTAGTTCTAGCTAATACACTTGATTAATCAGGATATTTTAGGAACGACAACAACTATTTATTATAAATAACTAACATAACAAACTTTCTTAATCTAATCAAATTAGTCAACTAGTGTTTATATTAAAGACCGAAGGTAGTATTTGATATTATTGTAATCATCATTTCTCATTAACACTGCCTCCGGTCCTTAATATACAAACTTGTTTGATTTTTAATTTGGTCCTTAGTATAGGATCGTGATTTATTTTATTTCTCATATTTATTTATTTTTTAAAAGTATTTCTTGTAATTTTGCAATAATAGTTGTATATGTTAAAAATGTTTTTATAAAGTGATTATATTTTGGGTGTTGTTTTAATGTACTTATCATGAATCGAGAATGATAAAGTTACACTCTCAATAGTGGAAAAGATCATCTGCGGTATGATATGCTCTATTTTTTAAGACAATGTCATCCTAGTGTATTAGAATAAACATATTCTAGAAATATTAGCTGTTGCATAGCTGTAACTTATACCCTCTGTTGTAACTGATTTAGTCAAGTTTAGAGATAGACATGTAAGCTACACAGGTGTCTATATATAAAATATGCTGTACTTCACATCATTAATGCATTAATCAATTCTTCTCCATTTTCGTCTTTGTCTTTATATGGTATCTAGAGCTTTTGATCCTTCGATGGCCTCTTCCTCTTTGACTCTTCCGCTTGTCTCTTCCTCACCACCAGAATGAGGTTATCGCCGTCAATCATTCCATTTTCATTAAGCTCGATGACTCCAATTTCCTTCTGTGGTGGCAACAAGTCATGAGTGCTGTTTGTGGTTATGCTCTTGAATCCTTCTTGGATTCCTCCATTCCTCCTCCTGAGTAATACAGGTCCAAGATGGACAACAAGTTGCTCTTACTCCTGCTTTCCTCAAATGGATGCGTCAGGACCAGTTACTCATGTCATGGCTCCTCTCTTCTATGTTAGATTCGGTTCTAACTTGGATCGTTGGCTGTGAAACTACAGCTCAAGTTTGGGACCACAACAACACCTTCTTTGCCTCTGAAACTAGAGCTAAGGTCAAACAACTCAAAACCACCTTGAAGAATACCAAGAAAGACAACTCACCGATGAATGAGTATCTCCTTAAGATTTAGGCCAATATTGATGCCTTAGCAGCTGTTGGTTCACCGGTCTCTGTTCCAGATCAACTTGAATTCATTTTTAATGGTCTTTCTAAAGACTATGATCCATTTATTACCTCGATCTCTACTAGGCTAGAGCCATATACGATAGCTGAAATTGAAGCACTTCTTATGGCGCAAGAAGCTCAAATTGAAAAGAATCGTCGTTTAGTCTCAACGATCTCTGGAGCTTCTCCGATCTCAGCCAATGTTGCTCAAACTCACGCTCAGACTCACGCGCCTTAACCACATCGCAACGTCATAATCGTGGTTGTCGTGGAAGAAATCTTGGTCATACAAACAACACCAGTTCTTCTTCTCGTCCCAAGGTTCAATGTCAGCTTTGCGGCAAAGCAGGTGATGCTGTTGGAACTTGCTAGTACAAGTTTGACAAATCCTTCCAAGGACTTTCCATTGATGATATTGCTTCATCTCTTCTAATCTGTCTGCTAAGTCTACTAATCAATCTGCTCTTCTTGCCACCTCTGATGTGGTTGCTGATCTTGCTTGGTACTTTGACTCTGAAGCAACAAGTCATATGACTAAAGATACTACTAATCTTGCTGAATCCTCTCACTACAAAGGATCTGAACAAGTTTATGTCGGTGATGGACGAGGTCTAAAAATTAGAGATGTTGGTACAATTATTATTTCTACCAATTCATCTCATCTTAAACTCACAAATGTTCGGTGTGTTCCTCAAATTGTCAAGAATCTTATTTTTGTTTATCAATTCTGCTATGATAATAATGTTAAAGTTTCCTTTGATGCAAGGCAGTGCGCGTAAAGGATCTCAAAACTAATCGGGTCCTATATCAGTGCAATGTTAAGAAAGGTATGTATCCAGCTTTAGACCTCAAGTTCAAGACTAGGACGGAGTCTTGTTTTTCTGCTATAGTTGATAACAAAAGTCGTAATCATTCAGTTTCCAATAGTTTTCATTTGTGGCATAATAAATTGGGGCATCCTTCCCCTACAATTGTTTCAGCTATATTGAAATCCTATAATCTTTCTTGCAATAAAAAGGATCTGCTTGACTTTTGCAAAGCTTGTGCAATGGGTAAAGCTCATAAGATGCCCTTTCCTCTGTCTGAAACCGTATATTTTGCTCCTTTTGTTATGGTTTATTCTGATATTTGGGGACCAGCTCCCCTTAAGACCAAAGAAGGTTATCTTTATTATATACACTTCAATGATGCTTGTACTCGTTATACATGGATCTATCCTCTCAAAATTGAAGTCTGAAGCTTTTTCTGTCTTTCAATAGTTTGTTGCCATGATTACTACTCAATTTAATCGGTCTCTTAAGATTTTTTAATCTGACTGTGGTGGAGAATATACTAAATTCACTTCTTTTCTCTCTGACCGTGGTATCATACATAGACATAGTTGCCTTTATGTTCATGAACAAAATGGGGTAGTTGAATGAAAACACAGGCATATCACGAAAGTCGGTCTCACTCTTCTAGCACAAGCAACCTTGCCCTTATCTTATTGGTTAGATGCTTTTCTTGCAACTATCTCCTTAATTAATATTCTTCCATCTACTGTGTTGCATGGCAAAACACCATTTGAAGTCCTTATGAATAAGAAGCCTGATTATAGCAAATTAAGAACCTTTGGTTGTTCCTATTTTCCACCTATGCGACCTTATAATACCCACAAGTTTGATTACAAATCTACTGAGTGTGTCTTTTTGGGTCCAAGTCCTATACATAAAGGCTACAAGTGCCTCATTTCTATTGGTCGGATCATTATTGATAGATATCTTATATTTAATGAGTCTTCCTTTCCTTATCCTTCCTTATTTCCTTCCTCCTCTAAATCTTTTCCTACTTCTCCTTTATTTGTTTCTGCCACCCCTCCTATTTTACCTGCATCTTCATATCACCTACCTTTTTCTTCATCAACCATACCCTCTGACACACCTCTACCCACTTCTCCTCCTCAACCTGTTGATCAATCACCAACTTCCCATTCTGCTGTCGTTGTTTCCCCTTCTTTTCCTCTTGATCAATCACCAACCTCCCATTCACCTATTGTTAATTCCCCTTCTTCTCCTACTCCCGTTGTTTCATCTTCTCTTGTTGTTACCCAACCCTCTCTACCAGCACCTTCTCATCCTATGAACCCAGCTCACATCATGAAGCTTTTCAGTCTCCATCTTGGCGAGCTGCTATGGAAGAAGAATTTGGTGCTCTACAGCAGAAGGGTACATGGTCCTTAGTTCCGTTGCTTCCTGGAAGACAAGCTATTGGCTGCAATGGGGTCTTTTCTAAAGACCAATCCCATTTCTTCCACTCACAAGTATAAAGCCCAATTGGTTGCAAAAGGTTTCATCAAAGGTTATGATTTTCATGAGACCTTTAGTCTTGTTATTTGGCCAGTTACCATCAGAATTGTGCGTAGCATTACTCTCTCTCAAAAATGGCATATTCATTAAATTGATGTCAATAATGCCTTCCTCAATGGATTTTCAAAAGAGGAAGTTTATATGGTTCAACCTCCTTGTTTTGACAGTAGAGATAAATTTTTGGTGTGTAAGATACACAAAGCTCTTTATGGGCTCAAACAAGCCCCTCGAGCTTGGTTTGAACGTTTGGGTGGTGCTTTGTTCAAACATGGATTTTTTGCTAGCAAATGTGATCCTTCTCTGTACATTAAAAGGTCTTCCAATGAACTTTTGTTTGTCCTAGTTTATGATGATGATATAATCATCACATGTTCATCTCATATTGGCATTTCATAGCTTATCATTGATCTTGATCATGAATTTTCCCTTACCTTCTGTTTGGATGGGAAGAAAAGTTGAGAGGAAAGAAAATAAGAGGAGAGAAAATGGAGAGAAGAGAAAATTGGAAAGAAAATATTATCACTTCTCATGTTTGGATGGACAAGAGAAAACAGAAAGGAAAGAAAATAAGTAAATATATGAATGACTAAAATACTCTCTCTATTATATCAAAATATATCTTGATTAAAATCAAATTAAATATCATAATGAAAAACCATATTTACATTAACATAATCATATAATTTAAAATAAAATTATTTGATAAGGATGTATTATCATGTTATTATATTTTAATATCAAATAATTTTGTCAAAAAAGAAAAAATAACATTTTGTGTAATGTTATGCTTAAAAAAAACCAAAACAACTCTACTTGTTTTTCCTTTCAGTTCATTTTAGAAGGATTTTTGCAATTTTAGTTATTTTATTTTTCAATCAAGCAAGCACAGAAGAAAGACTTGATAATAATAAATAAAGTGAAAAAATGAAAAAAAATGAATAGGTCTTATTTTGCTGAAAAAAATATATGTAAGAGCAGAGAGGAAAAATATGTTTTCTTTTCATTTTCTCTCTATATATGGAGAGAAAAGTTGGGAGGAAAATGGGCTGTGGGACCCACCTCATTTTCTCCCCAACTTTTCTTTCCTCCCACTTTTCTTCTCTCATCCAAAAAGGAAAAAAATCACTTCTCCTCCCATTTTCCTTCCTAGTTTTCCTTCCTCCCTCATTTTCTCTCTATCCAAACATAGCATTAAAGATCTTGGTTCCTTGAATTATTTCTTAGGAATTGAGGTTAAAAATCTGACTGATGGTTCTTTACAGCTGGTGCAAGCCAAGTATCTCAAAGATATTTTGTCTTGTGCAAATATGAGTAATGCTAAGAGTGTAGTTACATCAATGACAATGGGACTTAAACTCCTTAAGACTGGATCTGTTCCAATGACTAATCCTCAACTTTATCGATCCATTATTGGAGCCTTACAATATGCTACTATAACAAGGCCAGAGATTAGTTTTGCTATCAATAAAGTTTGTCAGTTTATGCAAACGCCCCTTGATGTTCACTGGAAGGCTGTTAAGAGAATTTTAAGATATCTTGCTGGTTCATTACATGATGGCATTATCATCTGTTCTAGTCTCAGCAGAACAATTACTGCTTACTGTGATGCTGATTGGGCATCATATCAGAATGATCGAAGGAGCACTTTTGGCTTTTGTGTTTATTTTGGTAGTAATCTCATCGCTTGGTCCTCTAAAAGGCAGGTTACAGTTGCAAGATCAAGTACTGAGGCAGAATATAGCGGCATGGCTTCTGTTGTATAAGAAGTTTTATGGATCAAGTCATTTCTTCAAGAGTTACATGTCAATCTTACTACACCAGCTCAAGTACTGTGTGATAATCTCAGTACAGTAATGATGACAGCAAATCCAATTCTACGCGCTAGGACAAAGCACATTGAGCTTGATCTACATTTTGTACGAGAAAGAGCTATCAAAAAAGAATTCCTGGTTCAACATGTTCCCAGTGTAGATCCGGTAGCTTATGGGTTCACAAAACCTCTTTCTCATAAGTCTTTCTTTGATTTTCATAACTATCTAGGAGTACAATGTCGCCCATAAGGGTAGTTTAGTTTGAGGGAAGATATTAGAATAAAGATATTCTAGAAATATTAGCTGTTGCTTAGTTGTAACTTATACCTTCTGTTGTAACTGATTCAGTCAAGTTTAGCGATAGACACGTAAGCTACACAAGTGTCCATATATGCTATACTTCACATCATTAATGGATTAATCAATTCTTCTCCATGTTCGTCTTCGTCTTTGTAGTGAAAGTTCGGATTTTGTTCCTCCAAGTTTTATTGTCTTGTAAAGGACTTTTAAACTCAAACTACGGACTAAGCCCGGGTAATTTTGTTGACTGGGCTGCTGATATGGGCACATGACAAAAACAACATAAGAACATAAAACGCATGGACCAAACGCGTGAGAGGCCGTGACCATAGAAGAATTCTCATACGGATGAAGGAATAGATTATGATAAGAATTTGGGTATTATGCAAAAACCCATACAGAAACGAAGAACAAAAATTAGACTTTTTAACTAACACCTAAAAAAAAAAACTAAGAAACATACCAACGTAAAGCCCCATGACTTTGTTTCCTGCTCTCATATTTATATTGCCTTCAAACCTTTCCTCCTCCTCTTGTGCTGGCTGCTTTTTCTTCCTTTGCAAAACTCTTACATAACGTTTTCCAGAGTGAGATAATAAGAACAAGAGAGTAGCTTCAAAGGTACAAGGAAGCAAAAGTCACTGGGGTGTCTGTTGGGAGTGATCATGCTAGTAGGAAGAAAGTGGAAATTGAAACAGGGGTTCACATAGATCCTTCTTTTCTTGCTGTCTTTTGGACATCAAGGATTATAATAAATGTTGTTTGAAGCAATTTGCATTCAAATGTCAAATCAGTATTAGGTTTCTACTTTGGGGGCATTTGTTTAATGATTTTCGAAGTTGAGGGAAGGTCTAGAAGCAAGGGAACGGTTAAGCCGCTGTTTCTGACCGGTTCAGTGCAGAGAGAGCCACAGCAATTAAGGTCTGGTATGGAAAAGTTGCAAGGAAGTTATAGAAGAAAGAATAGGAGGTTGCTTGGTAATAGATTGATACACAAAGTTGAGTATTGGTTTAGGGTTGATGCTGCATGCTTGGGAAAGGAGTTTAAGAGGAGGGAGGCTATGGGAATGCAGAAAAGCAAACACACGCGGTCATGTTCTGTTCACCTTTGTTTTGAAAATCGAAAACAGAGCTAAGCCCACAAAAAGTAAAGTCATTTCGACACCCTCTAGGTTATTAATGAGTTCATTTTCTCTATCTCAACGATAAAGAGGAATTTGGATACGGACCCAACAAGTTGCTGCAGCTTGTATTAAAGCAAGAGGAACTCAGACAAATTTCCTACGTATTTGTAGTAATTTTGACATGGGCACAATCACCTAAGGATCAACATTACATTAATGGTGATTTTGAGGATACCTCCAAAATCCAAAGGATCATTTATAAAGGTGACAAGGGTAATCCAAAAAAATCAATAATGTTATGTTTTATTTGTATACCCGAAATAATTGGATTCGATGTGATTATGCTGCGCGGTTCAGTTTGCTCGTGGGCTTAATTAAAGTGGTTCATTATGGGCTTCCCTGGTTGCATTTTATGTTTCTATAATTTTGTCACACATCCAGGTCAGAAGCCAAGTTAGCAAAATCACCCGGTCCTCTTGCCCAGTCAGCAACACAGATTAACAATTTTGACAGCGTTAATACCTCATTAATATTCCGGTCCTTAATGTAATATACAAACTGTTTGGCTGATTTAACTAGATTAAAAAAATTAGTTAAATTAGTTATTTATAATAAATAGGTATTATCTTTATGAGAATATTCTTATCAATTATGCGTATTAGCAATAACTATTATTTAATAAAATTTTTAACATGTGTAACTATCACAAAGATTACTTTAGAAAAAAAAACAGATAAATATAAGAGGCAAAATAAGTTGAGATATTATATTTAAAAACAAAATAAATATCTAGTTGTTATATTAAGTATTGAAGGTAGTGCTACTGTAATTCCAACTTTTATTGAAATAAGTCAATTAGATTCGCTCATTTTTCTAGGGAAAAAAATGCCTATATATATATATATATTTATTCCGTTTTCAACATTTATGTGTACCAACTCTCCACATATTATTAAATTATACACATTTATCTTTTATTTATGCAAAAATGTTTACATAAATTTTGAATAGAGAAATTTATATATGTGGATTACTATTTTTCTCTAGAGAAATTTTTATGTTGATTTCAAAATAGAAGAAAATATGTTAGATTTTAGCAGAATATAAAAGTGTAGGATATTATAATTTTAAGAATAAAAAACTGTGTAATATTAACTAAAGTTAAACAGGTTTGAATAAGTTTTTGTAGAAAAATTGACCAGTCCACCCTTGGTGGATTAGACCTAAGTCCATTTATATTGAGACTCTAATGCAAATAAATAGGAAATTTGGGTCTTAAGTGGTGAATTTCACCATTTTATATAAATTGCAAAAAAAAGAAAAAAAAGAAAAGGAGGGACGGTTATCACTTAACCATGAGGAGGCAGTTTTATTTTCAAAAACCATGGAGTTAAAAAAATGACCGAAGCATCAGTTTTGGCATGTTACTTTTTCTCCAGACTCCTCCCTCCTGTTCTCTCTTCTTTTTCATCCACAGGTGCATTTGCTGTGTAACACTGATTCGAGTTCACTGCCATAACCGGACCTCCACGTGGCTATCTGAAGGCATGGAACACTCCAGCTATGCCCAAAACCCATTATTGGTATTAGAGCCTGGTTTATTTTTCTTGTTGGTGTCATTCTGTGGCCTGCGTTTCATATGCCTTTCTATTCCAGTGTTCTTTTTTTTTTCCCTTTTGTTTTTTGGTTCTGAGTATCCAGAGATTTGCTTCAATAAATATTATGCAAATCCTCTATTTTACTTTTAGCATGCTAGTTTTCATATTTTATATTTGTGATTAGAGATACTAGATTCTTCTCTGCCTCTATGAACGCATTCTTTTTCTGGGATCGTTTTTTTGGCCATAACATTTTTATTTTTGGATTTTCTTAAAATCAAGTTTTTAGACCTCAAAACCTATCCCATTGTGTAGAGGACGAAAAAACAAGGAAAACGATATAAAGTGCGTGAAAAACGGACATTGGACGGCCAAGATATAGAGGAGAGAAGTTTTTGGTCCGACGAGTCCATCGTACCCAACCCATCACTCCAGCTGGGTCGATTAGACGACGATGAATAGTGATCAAAACGACGTCGTTTTGATCACTGCAAAAAAAAAGGGACAAAAAGAATTGAAGGGAACTGGTTGGACTAAAATGGACCGAGCCTAACCGGTCCAAATACTAAAAAAAAAAAAGCCCAAAGATTTCCAAAAAAAAAAAAAAGAGATCTGGTCCACCTTTTTATTAAAAAAAACATTTTTTGGTACTGAATTGCCACGTGGCGCACCACGTGGCATGCCAGCTAGACACGTGGGGACCACTACCTGACAGGTGGTGGTGCGTGGAGGCCGCCAGAATGTCATGTGTTCCCGGTGGCCGGCTGAATGCGGCGAGTGTACTACACGCGCCGACAACGCAAGTGGGGTCAAAATTTTTTTCATTTTTCTCGGATTTTATCTTCTTGGGGCACATATAGGGGCATGGAAGCTCTTTTTGAGGTGCGGTTTGTCTCTAAAAATCCCTAAAATCAAGATCTTCATTTTGATATATAATTTGCTAATTTTTGAGACAATTAAGGATCTATTTGTGAGTATTTTCAATGTATTTTCTGGTATTTTCATGCGGAAATAAATTTCAGAATATTCAAAATAATTTAAATTATTTTGTTCTAGGTGAAAATGAAGCACGAGGCTTCTGGTAGCACTGAAAATATTAAAGATGGTTCATTGGAATACTCATACATGGATGATGGAGTTCTAGAATATGAACCAGAGGATGAGGATCCTGAGGAGGACCCCAAAGAGGTTCGTCAAGAAGACCCGGAGGAGTTAATGGATTCTGGACCTGAGTCGGAATCTTTATTCCCTATTGAACCCCTTCTTACCGAACCTCACTTGGTTTTTAACGATTCACTAGATCTTCCTAATGAAACCGAAGTTGAGGAAGGAGAAGAGGTGAATCAACCCTGTACCCCTGCTTTAGCTATAATATAATTGAAAGAGATACGGCCAAACTGACAAACATAAAAGGCATCAATGGCGTGCTCGCCAGCTACGTCCATTATATGACTGATAGAAAGAATACCGAATTCTACCTTAAAGTCATAATGGAATACATAAGTGCAATAAGGGTTGGAGGCAGACCTAAAAGAAAACCCATAAGGAAATTTTACTGGATTTGGGCTATAGATTTAGTATCATCCTTTGTGACCAAAACACGCAAACTTAGGAAACTGAGGAAAGCAATGCTTGATTACCTTTATATTCATATCAAATGATATAACATTTGTATTTGCTTTATTAATGTTTGTTATATTAAGTTTTTGGTTTCATGCATTGTAAACAGACTAAGTGTGTTACTTCATTTAATGAAATTACTTAAATTATTTTTGAATGATTATTTTGTCAATAATATATCTATGCTTTTTATAAGTGGGAGCTTTTAGAAGATAAGATTTCTAAGAGTCACAATTTTTGAAGTGCTTATACACAATTCTTGATAGGACATAATGATTATTTCCTATATCTGTGTGATGGAAGGTACAAAC